TTTGTAAAAGCGGACTCATACGTAGCTCGACAAAAATCATCAACATATCATTTTGACAAATGCCATGTCCAAAAAATGCAGGCATTCGATTTTTCTATGGAACCCACGCCCCCGAAATAAGGGAAGGAAGCCGTTTGAGGATCTCAGCCGTCCCTCTGGCTTCCTTTGCACGCATATTATGCCGGGTTTGGAGGTAGCCCTCCGAAATATTAGCTGAAAGCTTCCTCAGAAAGCAAATCTTTCCCACATCCTTCCCTGCAGTTCCTCTTTAAGACGTGTCAGCATGGCTGGAAGAATGAAGTGGCTGCACATTGTCTGGCAGTGCTATTATGTGCTTAACATTTCCATGACAAAAGTGCCACTCGACTTCTCCCCGATTAATGCAGCTCGAGGGCTCTTGTCGGCCTTTAATAAAACATTGTTGAAATCATTTATTTAGAGCCCCTGGTTACTAGTGGGAGAATGACCATCTTTGTGCCAAAATATAGTGTATACAGTCCACTATTTTGTAGTAGATCATTCTGTTATTTAAGAAATTGATTAAATGGATGCATTAGAAGGTATTTCTGCTAATAGCACATTACTTATGTCCTTCAGATCGTCAAGGGCGAACCTTTTCAACTGTCCAGCAGAGACAATCCCTCAAAGAGAATACAGTATCATCCAACTTTACTTAACTCACAAGGCTGCCAGAGCCACTGGAAACCCAGCCCTCCCAGAACTGCGCTCAGGCTTGGAAGACATTTGCAACAGGCTGCCTCCCAACCAGCCTAACTTCAGGGAGCTGGGAGAAATGGGGTCAACTGACATCGTTTCAGATGCTCCTTTAGTGTCAATAACATGCACTTTTCTTTTTACCGGTTTGAAAAGAGATACGCGGGGTTATATGAGAACTTGCACAGTTGAACCCAGTAAGCTGATGATTCAAAACCAGAGTTTGAAAGTAGAAAGGATTTTAGTATACAGTTTGATGTCTGTGGAACTTCTCCAAGCAATTCTCTCTTTTTATTCTATAGGACATGGCACTGCTGAGATGGAGTGGGGGTTTGAGTGCAGAAGTGAGGAAGAAGGGCACCCCACTCCGTGTGGTTTCTCTTGACTCTTTGAGAGAGATGCGACTGGTTCTGAGTTGTGTCTTCACCCATGGTGGGGCAGGGGGGGAGGATCCCACTGGGAGAGCTGCAGTGCACCCCAGATGAGTCAGAACGTGATGGCCCCTTAAGTCTGTGGCAGTTGGCACCAGAACCCTCACTTACGGATGTTTGTGGGGGGCCTGCCTAAGCACATGGATGTCCTGCTACTTAGTAGCAGAATTTAGTTCCCTGCAGCCATTTTTCCCCCTCACATACGTGTATGGCTGGCGTACATTGCTATATATTGTTAAAAATAAACAGAGACCTTATGTTATGTCCATTGTGGTCATAAACAAAAGCGTTGCTGTGTGCTTGGGTGAGCAGTGAAGCCTGAACCTCCTTCTATTTACTGTATGGTCACTGTCAGTTCAATGAACTGCCTCCTTGTTCTCCACCATTGTCCCACACTCCCTTAAACATTTGTCACTGAAGTGCTTCCAAAGACAAATAAACTGTCACTGAGAATGCAAACCTGCTAATGGGGGAAATGGGACCAGCCTCAAGGCCACATGATTTTTCACGACATCCTAAAGGAGTTCCTTGCACCCTGGAAGCCTTCTGAGAAGCATGGCCCTTTTCGAGAATCCCCGGGAAAAGCCAGAGATGCCCTTTCTCTCAGTAATGGTACTTCCAGGCATTCTCCGTGAGACATCTGGCTGTCTCAAATGTCCAAAATTCCAAAAGGTTCCCCAGAGAGCGTGAGATATTACAGATGTCAACATCTGTAAAAATTCTTTCTGCCTAGGAGCAGATGGTAACCTACCATCCCATAACCGAAGGTTCCAACAACTCAGCAACCTGTTCTGGCGTCCTCTAGGTCTGTAGAGGGACCAGGGGGCTCCTGGGCTCCGGTTTAGAACTGTTTAAATTAAAATGAGCCACCGATCAATGTTCACTTTCTTCAAGGAAGAAAGCATAAAGCCTCATGTCCTCTCTCCCCAACAGCGAGCTGTGTTGATTTATCCCAGGCAGATGCTTTTGACAGAACCCTGTAAAATCAAGTCGTGAGTTTATTGTACCAGTTAATTATCAGGCCTTTCTAGTGCTAATGCCTTTTACTTCTTACTGGGGAAAACTGGACCTTTTACTGGGACAAAGACTTCACTTTTAGTCAAGAATGTGTTAAAATAACAGGAGATGGAGATGATTTAAATATATTTAAAGACAAACGCAGGAGCATTGCTAACAGGAGGTTTGTAAAGAGCGCTGATTTCATTTACAAGTCTCTTGGAATACTCTTTGTTCACTTCCCAAAGAAACAACGCTTTCAGCTTTGTTTTAACAATATGTTTACTCAACCATTCAGGTGACTGCGGACTGAAGCCACACACCACCCTCCTAGCCTCGACTGACACTACAACTGTCTCAGACTTTCTGATGCTACACGTATACCAGTCTTGGTTTTCAATCCAACAAGAAGTGCCTCGAAGCCCTGCATAAAAGCCAGGAAAAGAGCGAGTTAGAGGCAAAAGAAACCTGAAAAGTCGGGGGTGGGAGTGGTGGGGGGAGGAAGTTGGAAGGGGGCATGGCTTTGTTAATTACTTCAGGCAGCAGAGAAATGTGGTTATGTTTTCTCAGTACATGTTAATATCATATAAAGAGACACGAGATCTTGCTAATCTGTCGACCCCTCAGACAAAGTTTATTTGTGGTGACTTTTAAACTCCTGACTCGCCTTCCAATCACCGCGTTTAAAATGAAAAGCTTTAAATAAACACCAGGAATAGAAGATAAATAAACTTTTTTTCCCTCTTGCAAGTGCCTAGCTTGGCGAGGTTCAGACTCAAATCCCCAGAGGACAGAGCGCTCTCTTTTGTGTTAATGTTTAAAAGATTTTCCAATGCCGGAGTTTATTCCTACTGCAAACATTTCTATTTACAAGGTCAAGTGTATCAGCACTCGACACAGCTTAAGAGTGTAATTATTTATCTAAGGGCGTTTGAGTGTAGATCAGTAGCTCTGGCAGGAACCCAGCCTTCAGCCCACTGCTAAACAACTCCTCACAACAATATTACAAGTTCTGGTGATTGTTCCTCTCCCCAGTGTGTTTACTTTTGTCCGCCTGAATGTTTTGTAACAAAATTTTGTACTTTTTCACCCGAAGTGTGAAAATGACTTTGAAGCGGTGTGCCAGGTTTCCCAAGATCTATTGGTAACAGATGTTATTGGCATGTTTGATTGTAGGAGAATGTCTATAAGCCAGACAGGACACTTCTGGAGGAGGGGCTTGGGGGCTCCCCTTGGAAAAGGGGGGGAGGGGAGAGAGACCTCTGGGTTATCCCCAATTATGTAAGAAGACACAAATTTTGTGAGTTCTCTCCACAAACGTAAAAACCAGTGCAGGCCAGAGGGTTATGTCTTTTTAGCTGCTTCATTTACACATGTCTAATGGTTCATTAAATTAGAGGCAGAAATAATAGCCCTCATTTCTTGTCTTGTACTGTATTTTAATTTCAGTTGATGGTTGATAGATTCCCAGTGGCCCCTCCATGCCCCTCCTTACCCATTATTGGGTAAACCACAATGTAACTCTGGAAAGTAACTACACCATATTCATTATTTAAAAACTCTTTACTGATGTACACATTTTAATAAAACAAATAACAAAAAATACACAAAGCCATAGTTACTTAAAACATAAGACTTTTTTTAAAAAAGGATGTCTATAAAAATACAATGTTTAAGGCAGTTTGGAAATGCATTTATACATTTCTACAATGTCCATAAATTCTCTTGAAAATAACAATGTTAACTTCAAATCTATAAAATACACTGTACATTTTAAGACTGTTCTAGATAGAGCACACTTCACAATGGACTGTGGGTTTGGATCCCCTGGTGACAAACAGATTCTATACATTTCAGGGAGGAAAGGTGTAACGTGGTTGCAGATTTAAAATTTTAATTTCTTTTTAAAAATAAATTATTTCTGAAGCATACACTTTATAAAAATTCTATACACAAAGTACAGCAACTGGTAACAAATCCCAGTTTTAATACACTTTATATAGAAGTACCAGGGTTTAGCACCCTGATAAAAGCAGAGGCGATATATTTTCTCTGCATATCTGTACATACAATTTCTTGATGTAAAGAACAAAAATGACAAGACAAACATCATAAAGAGGCTTTCATAGATGGCAGTACAGAGCTCTTTTACATAAAAAGTTGCATTGTTCAACACCACTAGCAACTCTTTAGATCAGCATTTTTTGACCCTTAATCCTAAGAAATGGGCTAAGAGATCAGAGTGGTGGCAATGAAATTAAGGTCAAGGGCTCAAAGTTATCCAAAACTAAGTCAGGCATATTAACCCCTTCCCATGCCTCCTCCCCCGCCCAAACGGAGAATTCTGAGCGCTGACCAAGAGTAAACACAAGAATCGGTAAGCGGGACGTTTCTGTTTACTCACGATTGCAATGTCCTCACTGGCCACAATAAAAGTCGACACCGGTACTGCCCTCCCCCCACGCCGCCCCCCCCCACCCCTCCCCATGCACAGCAAAAATGCTAATAAACAGCCACTTTTGCAAATGTAAATCCCCTCTCATACTCCTGCTCCAAGCCTACTCCCTTGAAACTGTTAGGATCCCACAGGTCGGTATCCTCTCTTCCGAGTCCGAGGCTATGGTTCCGTACCCCCCGCCCATTTCATCCCGGACATCCTAAACTCTAGCTGGCCAGTTTCTGCAGGGCAGACGAGCTGAGTTTCTGGAGCCTGGAATGGGGGCAGGGGAGGACGTCCAAGAAGTCATGTTCGGGAGAGGGCACGGGGAAGTGCCAAGAGTCGTGAAGGGGAGACCCGCTAGGCAGAGCCTACTCGGAACACGTTTTAGACAGTATCCCAACCATCCCCACTGTCCCCCAGCCACAGGTGCTTCGGCGCGGGCCCTCCCGCAGCCTATGGCGGGAGGCGCTAGGGCTAAAAGAGCAGCGGGAGCAGCAGCAGCAGCAGCAAGATGGAGGCCAGCGGGGTCCAGGAGCCTCCGGGCGCCAAGCGGCCACCGCCGCTGCTCCTGCGCCCGGGCCCGTAAGGCAGGTCCCCGCGGCCGCCTGCCGCTGCAGCGCCGCCGCCCGGGCGCGGCGGGTGCGGGACGCCGTCGTCGTCGTCCAGCAGCTGCTCGCCGCCCGCGCCCCCGCCGCGCTGCTCGTCGTCGTAGTCCTCGTCGTAGTAGTCGTCCAGGCCCCCGTCCGAGCCGCTGCTGCCTGGGCCATTGCCCAGCTCGGCCCCGAAGCACAGGCGGGCCATGTTCTCCTTGACCGACTCGCAGATGGGCCGCTCCAGGCCGTCGCACACGCAGTCGTTGAGCAGCGCCGCCTTAGGCACGGCCAGCATGTCCTCGATGACCGTGCGGCACTCGTCGGTGCAGCGCAGCCCGTTGAAGAGCTTGCCGCAGTAGGTCAGGTAGCGGCTGAGGGCCAGGTTGCAGCGGCTGTCGCGATCGCAGCGCCGCCGGGCCTCGGTGCAGCCCATGACCCCGCCCGCGCCCGGGCCGCCCGAGCCGCCGCTGCTCGTCCGGGGCAGGCACGGCTCAATGGCGCGCTTGGTGGACTTGCAGTTCTCGTCCTGCGCGCAGTCACAGTCCTCCAGGGCGGGCCCGCGGCGCGTGTGGTTGAGCTGAATGAGCGCCGAGATGCAGTGGCTCGGGCAGCGCCAGCGTGACGAGAACGAGGCGGCCGAGGCCGGGAAGGCGGCGGCGGCGGCGGTCCCCGGCGTGTCGCCTCCGCCGCGCTGCGCCAGCACCGGCGCGCACGCCTCGGCGTACTGGTTGTAGGCGTAGCTGCACTCCGGCTCCCCCTGGCACTGCAGCAGCGCCTGCCAGCAGATGAGGCGGCGGCCGTGCGCCAGCCCCGAGCCCCGCGGCGCAGAGCTCAGCAGCTGCAGCAGCGCCATCAGGCACAGCCAGACGCCCGGCACGGTCCCCGCGCGGACCCCGCCGCCGCCGCCCAGCAGCCCTGCCACCATCGCGGGCAGCGGCGGCCGCCGGGCGAGGAGGGGAAAGGAGACGAGGCGCGGGCAGCGGTGGACGCGGAGCCGGTGGAAAAGTTTGCCCCAGTCCTGCCAACTTCTTGCATGAGTGTTTTCATAAATCCATACGCGCCGCTCACTGGTGCCGCGCTGCTTGCAGAAGGTCTGGCTGCCCGCTCGCTCGGGCTGCGGTGGCTTCCCAGAAATGCACAGCCGCAGAGAGCCCCTCCGGTCGGCCCCGGCTGTGGCGGGAGGCGCTCACTGCCGCCCCGGGGGGCTGCGGGCCGCGGGGCCGCGGCGGGGCTGCAGGACCGCGCGGCGCCGCGGGTGCATTTTGCTCCGCGCCTGCAGATCCGTTGTGCGGCCGCGGCGGCTCCTTCCTCCCGGGCTCAGCGCCGCGCCGCTGCCGCCGACGCCGCCGCCGCGGGCTCTCGCATCGCGCCGCTTCCTGGCTTGAGTCGGAGCGCTGCCCGCCTTCCCGGGGCCCGGACGCCCGCGTCCCCTCCCCCTCCGCCCGCGGCGACCCCGGCCTCGCTGAGCTCCGCGGAGCCCTTTCCGGGCGGCGCGGGGAGAACAAGAAACTCGGCGCGGCCGGGGAGCGGCTCCCGGGCTTCCCTCGGCGGCGGCTTCTCGGGTGACAAGGGGCCCGGGGAGCGGATCCGCTGAGTCCGGCTGCGGACTCGCTGATTGCGAGGCTTTAAATACAAAAGTGGGCCGGGAGCCCCCGCGTGGTGCCGCGGTGCCCCCTCATTATGCATGCATGGAAAAGCAAACAAACAAAAACATTAGCAACGCTCCTCCAGCTCGCCGAGCCCCGGCCCCGCGCGCTCCGAGCCTGCCCGCTTTCTCCTTTCTCCACTCTCTTTCGCCCTTTGCTCGGCCCCCTTTCCCGGCTTTTCGAGATGCTATTGGTCCTGCCTGTTGTTGTTGAAACTTTTTTTTTTTTTTTTTTTTTACGGGCCGCTGGGGGGGGGGGGGGTTGCGGAGTGGGGGAGGGCGGGGAGGGTGGTGGGCAGCTCACATTCAGGCATTCAGGGCTTGAAAGGAACGGCTTAAGGAGCCTGACAGAGGCCTGGGAGCTCCTCCTACTCTTAAGGAGGCTCGGATATGGAGCCCGGCTCGCGCTCAGAACCAGCGGGCAGGGCTCAGGAGCAGCTGTTTGCATCCGGCTCGGCCACAGGCCTTTTTGCTGGGTTCTTTTTTCCTCTCCTTTTTTTTTTTTTTTTTTTTAATAGTTTTATTACTTCTCCTTGACTCCCATCTGCGCCTTCGACTGCGTTCAGAATTCAGTTTGTTTTTTCTAGTTTCCTATGTTTGGGACCTGATCACGGTTGGGGGCTGTGTGTGTGTGTGTGTGTGTGTGTGTGTGTGTTGGGGGGATCAGAGTATTTAATGTTGAGCTTTAAAGCTTATGAAAAACAAAACAAAGCCCAAACGCACACAAGAAGGAGGCACACACTTCAGTTAGGGGACGTAGATGAGATATTTACAACGCCCCCATCCCAACACATGGTCCCACTTGGCCGCTCAGGCAGGTATGACTCTTGCGCCGGGCGTCATTGTCAACTGCAAGACAGAAATCCAAATCAACCAGATCAATTTCTTTGGAATATAAGTCTCTAACTCGGACGGCGATGAAAAAATAATTATAGTATTAAAAATCTTTAGGAATGTTGAGCAGCACCATATGGCCGCAGTCAGAACATAAAGGAAGGGGATAAATTGGCACGCACCAAGGTTTCTATTAAAGTGTGTGTGCTTCCATCTCTCCTTCAGTTAAGGGAAGCGGCCCGGGTTAGAGCCGCCCAAGCCATCCAGGCGCGGAAGTTTGCAAACTACCTTAACTGTGGCGCAACGCAGCCTTCGACCACCAGAGGCACCGGGCTTCTGTGGCCTGTCAAAAACTGGCGCTTTTTTCCTCCCCTTTCCGTGGAGAGACTATCAACTCCATCTGTCACAAAAATTAAGGCTAAATCTCCTTTCCAGAAGCAGAAGGAGCCGGGGCTTCAGGGCGCGCAGAGTTCGGCTGTCCGCCTCTCCCCGGAGGCGCAGGGAATTAGAAATGGCAAAAGTCAGAACAGAACTTCAGCGTAGGAAGATTGAATCAGGCTGCAAAAAAGTCTCCGGTTCCTGGGAAGACTGATGCATTCTTCAGGGACTGTCTTAGGAACAGTCTTAGGAACCTGCGCCTCTGCAACCCCCAAAATAAAAAAAAATTTAAAAAAACTTTAAAAGCGGTGGTTTGGCGTAAGGCAGACCATGTTGTTCAGACTAGAGGACAGAAAACACAATATCTATTATTGATTTATCGATCTATCTTCTATCTCTGAGGGTTTTTTGCCTGTGTGTGTGTGTGTGTGTGTGTGTGTGTGTGTGTGTGTGTGTTTGGTTGCTTTGGGTTTGGTTTTTTTGTTTTGATTTGTTTTTAAATAAAAAGTCTGCAACTGTGTGGCGGATCAAGACAACCATTTCCCAGGCTCTGAGTATGCTGTTACTTGGAGTTGGCTGGCTCTGTCCTGCCAGGAGGGCTTGGACAAGTCACACTCCTTCTCAGAGACTTGGATCTTTCACCATATAAGGTTCAAGGCCAGATTAGACACTTGAAATCAAGTCTTTTCATCTTTAATGCTCTGTGATTTTGGCTTATAAGGACAAGGTCAATGGCTACATATTTAAACTAGTGTTTGTTGAGTCCCTTTAGAACGGGGGTCTCAGATCTTAGTAAACATGAGGCTTGTGGGTTGTCCTTGTTAAAACCCACAAGGCTGAGCCTGGTCCTGGAGTTCCTGATCTAGTAGGGCTTATGGGGCCCGAGAATCTGCATTTCTAACAAGTTCTTAGGAGATGCAGCTGCTGCTGCTTGTCTGGGGATAAAACTTTAAAAACCAACATTCTAGAGGTCCACATGCTTGTTGTTTGCAAAATTTGCCCATCCTGGTCCTAATTCAGCTCTCAGTGGGATTTAAAGAAGTCCCAAGAATTTTGCATGCTCTGGGGACACCCTAGTAGATGTGTGGAGCAACCAGCTGCCTGATAGACCAAGGCTGAGAAGAAGATTCAGATGAGCTGGGAGAATGAATGAACCTCCTCTCCCAGAAGCCCCAAGACCGTGAGTGCCACTGTGTCTAACATCAAGGTTTTCAGTCATAGCCAACAGGCTTCCAAATGATCCCTCATCACCCATCACTAATCCCCATATTACCCTGTACATCTCTTGAACTGACATAATTCTCATCATGAGCAACCCCCCACGTGAAAATATCCCACTTCCAGTGGAGCTCTCAATCTGTCCTCAGCAAAATCTCCGGTATCCACAACCTGCTTTCTGAGCTGGACCTTCACCTTCTTGCTCTAACTAAAACCCAGCTGAAAACCATGGAATTGAAGAAAATATTTGCAAATTTCATGTATATGAAAAAATATACATGTAAATGACAGATGATTAGAACAGACATTTTTCCAAAGAAGATATACAAAGGGCCAACAAATACATGAAAAGGCAGTCAACAGGGCACCTGGGTGGCTCAGAGGGTTAACCCCTGACTTCGGCTCAGGTCCTGATCTCAGGGTCCTGGGATCGAGTCCCGCATTGGGCTCTCTGCTCGGCAGGGAGCCTGCCTCCCCGCCCCCCTCTGCCTGCCTCTCTGCCTACTTGTGATCTCTCTCTCTCTCTGTCAAATAAATTAAAAAAACCTTTAAAAAAAAAGAAAAAAAAAGAAAAGGCAGTCAACATCACTCATGATCAGGGAAAAGCAAATTAAAACCACAATGAAATCTCACCTCACTCAGGTTAGGATGGATATCATCAAAAAAACAAGAGGTAACACATGCTGGCAAAGATGTGGACAAAAGGGAGCCCTAATGCACTGATGATGGGGATATAAATGGGTGCAACCAATGTGGAAAACTGTACGGAGGTTCCTCAGAAAATTAAAAATAGAATTACCCTATGATGCAGCAATCTTACTTCTGGGCATATATCCAAAATAAATAAAATCAGTATCTCAAAGAGATACCTGCACCCCTTGTCCATTGCAGGATTATTCACAACAGCCAAGGTACAAAAGGGCCTAAGTAGCCATCGTTGGACAAAAGATGGATAAAGAAAATGAGATTTTATATATATATGTGTGTGTGTGTGTGTATACACATATATATAATCACATATATATATATCATATAAATTCGATCTATCTATCTCTATCTCTGAGGGTTTTATATATATACACACACATATGTGTACATATATATGTTTATGTATATGTACATATATATGTATACTTGTTTTTGTAGCTGCGTAATATTCCGTTATATACATATGCACATATATGTGCATATGTATATAACGGAATATTACGCAGCTACAAATAGAAGGGGATCTTGCCATTTGTGTCAACATAGATAGCCTCTGAAGGCATTATGCCAAGTGAAGTAAGTCAGACAGAGAAAGACAAATACTGTATGATGTCACCTGTACGTAGAGTCTTAAAAAACCAGATTCATAGGAACAGTAGAATGGTGGTTGCCAGGAACTGAGGGTTGGGGAAATGGGGAGACGTTGGTCAAAGAGGGTAAATTCTCAGTTATAGGATGAGTAACTTCTGGGGATATAAGGGCCAGCGCAGTGACTGTAGTTAATAATACCATGTTAAATACTTGAAAGTTACTATAAAAGTAAAGCTTTTATCTTCTCACCATAATAATAGCAACCAAATGGTAATTATATGAGGTGAAGGTTGTGTTAACTTCCCTTATGGTGGTAACATATTGCAAAATATGTTTACCAAATTGTCACATTGTATACTTTAAATGTATACAATGTTACATGACGGTTATATGTCAATAAAGCTGGGGTGTGTGTGGCGGGGGAGGGGAGAGCCCAGCTGGCTGGCCCTCTTAGGTACAGCTTCCACTTTACAGATACAAGTCCTGCCTGAGTTTTCTTCCACAGTCCACAGCCCACCAGACCCTAAAGTGGAACCCATAGGCCTCTTGTGCCTCCAGA